ATTGCCACTTAAATATCTGGGAGCAAGTTCAAGGTCAATTGCTTACAATAGAATTTTCAACTTCTTCTCAATAACTTCAGTGCACTTTGACCTATTGATTGCTGTCACATCAAAACTTGGTCGTTGAAAACCTGGTTTTCGTCGCATTGTGGCGCTTCTTGTTACACTTTGAACTTTGTCCGGGACATAACTCTAAAAGTATAAGAGGTATCAACATGAAACTTTGTAGGTAGATAGAGCTCATTGAGTAGGTGTGCAGTGCACAAGAACCGTAACTCTGCATTGTCTAATTTTTGAATTATCCCCCTTTGTTTATTTTACACTTTGAAATTTGTCTGGGACATAACTCTAAAACCATAAGAGGTATCAACATGAAACTTTGTAGGTAGATAGATCTCATTGAGTAGGTGTGCAGTGAACAAGAACCGTAACTCTGTCTTGTCTAATTTTTGAATTATCCCCCTTTGTTTATTTTACACTTTGAACTTTGTCCAGGACATTACTCTAAAACTATAATAAGTATCAACATGAAACTTTGTAGGTAGATAGATCTCATTGAGTAGGTGTGCAGTGAACAAGAACCTTAACTCTGCCTTGCCTAATTTTTTAATTATCCCCCTGTGTTTATTTTGACACTTTGAACTTTGTCCGGGACATAACTCTAAATGTATAAAAGATATCAACATGAAACTTTGTAGGTAGATAGATCTCATTGAGTAAGTTTGCAGTACACAAGAACTGTAACACTATCTTGCCTACTTTTGGAGTTATTGCCCTTTGTTCATTTTGACACTTTGAACTTTGTCCGGGACATTACTCTAAAATTATAAGAAGATATTCAACATGAAACTTTGTAGATAGATAGGTCTCATAGGGTGGAAGTGCAGTGCTTAAGAATCATTACTCTGCCTTGCCTTATTTTGAAGTAATTTGCCCTTTGTTTTTATTTTTACTTTTTGACTTTTGTCCGTGACATAACTTTAAAAACTACTTAGAGATATCAAAATGAAACTTTTATAGGTAGCTAGATAATAATTGGATAGAACTGCAATGCTTAAAGAACCTAAACAAAGCCTTGTCTAATTTTGGAGTTATTGCCCTTTGTTCATTTTTACACTTTGAATTTTACCCGTGACATAACTCTGATATCATCAGGAAACTTTATAGATTGATAGATCTCATTGAATAGAAGTGCAGTGCAAAAAAAACATAACTCCACTTTGCCTAATTTTGGAGTTTTCTGCCCTTTGTTCATTTTTAGCTCACCTGACCACGAAGTGGTCATGGTAAGGTATAGTGATGGGGCTATGTCCGGCGTCCGTCGTTGTGCGTCGTTCGTCGTCAACAATTGGGTTGTTAACAGTCTAGCAGTCACAGTTTTGATTGGATCATTATCAAACTTTGTCAGAATGTTTGTCTCAATGAAATACAGATCGAGTTCGAAGATGGGTTATCTCGGGTCAAAAACTAGGTCACAGGAGCTAAAAATAGAAAAAGCTTGTTAACACTCTAGAGGCTGCAGTTTTCTTCCAAATATTCTGGAAAATTTGTCAGGAAGGTTGTTTTTAAATAATATCTAGGTCAAAGTTCGAAGATAGGTCATCTCGGGTCAAAAACTAGGTCACAGGAGCTAAAAAAATAGAAAAAGCTTGTTAACACTCTAGTGGCTGCAGTTTTCATCCAAATATTCTAGAAATTTGTCAGGAAGGTTGTTTTGATGATATCTAGGTCAAGTTCGAAGATGGGTCATCTCCGGTCAAAAACTAGGTCACAGGAGCTAAAAATAGAAAAAGCTTGTTAACACTCTAGTGGCTGCAGTTATCATCCAAATATTCTGGAAATTTGTCAGGAAAGTTGTTTTGATGATTCTAGGTCAAGTTTGAAGATGGGTCATCTCCGGTCAAAAACTAGGTCACAGGAGCTAAAAATGGAAAAATCTTGTTAACACTCTAGTGGCTGCAGTTTTCATCCAAATATTCTGGGAATTTGTCAGGAAGGTTGTTTTGATGATTTCTAGGTCAAGTTCGAAGATGGGTCATCTCCGGTCTAAATCTAGGTCACAGGAGCTAAAAATAGAAAAAGCTTGTTAACACTGTAGTGGCTGCAGTTATCATCCAAATATTCTGGAAATTTGTCAGGAAAGTTGTTTTGATGATTTCTAGGTCAAGTTTGAAGATGGGTCATCTCGGGTCAAAAACTAGGTCACAGGAACTAAAAATAGAAAAATCTTGTTAACACTCTAGAGGCTGCAGTTTTCTTCCAAACATTCTGGAAATTTGTCAGGAAGGTTGTTTTAATAATTTCTAGGTCAAGTTCGAAGATGGGTCATCTCAGGTCAAAAACTAGGTCACAGGAGCTAAAAATAGAAAAAGCTTGTTAACACTCTAGTGGCTGCAGTTTTCATCTAAATATTCTGGAAATTTGTCAGGAAGGTTGTTTTGATGATTTCTAGGTCAAGTTCGAAGATGGGTCATCTGAGGTCAAAAACTAGGTCACAGGAGCTAAAAATAGAAAAAGCTTGTTTAAACTCTAGTGGCTGCAGTTTTCATCTAAATATTTTGGAAATTTGTCAAGAAGGTTGTTTTGATGATTTCTAGGTCAAGTTCAAAGATGGGTTATCTCCGGTCAAAAACTAGGTCACAGGAGTTTAAAATAGAAAAAGCTTGTAAACACTCTAGTGGCTGCAGTATTGAGTCAAATAGTCTGGAAATTTGTCAGGAAGGTTGTTTTGATGATTTCTGGGTAAGTTCGAAGATGGGTCATCTTAGGTCAAAAACTCGGTCACAGGAGCTAAAAATAGACAAAGCTTGTTTACACTCTAGTGGCTGCAGTTTTGATTCAAATATTCTGGAAATTTGTCAGGAAGGTTATTTTGATGATTTCTGGGTCAAGCGCTAAGATTGGTCATGTCCGGTCAAAAACTAGGTCACAGGAGCTAAAAATAGAAAAATCTTTTTAACACTCTAGTGGCTGCAGTTTTGATCCAAATTTCCTGGAAATTGGTCAGGAAGGTTGTTTTGATGATTTCTAGGTCAAGTTTGAATATGGGTCGTGTCCGGTCAAAAATTAGGTCACATTGCCCAAATATGGAAAAATCTTTATAACACACTAGAGGTCACATGTTTGACTCAGTTGTCATCAAACTTGACCATGATGCTTGTTTAAGACATTGCTTGGATGCGGTTGTGTCAGGTGAGCGATCCAGGGCCATCATGGCCCTCTTGTTTTTATACTTTCCTGTGTCCAGAACCTTCTCAGGGAGCATCACCCAGTTCAACCGGTTCTTGTTTGGTTGATGTCTTTCATGTTTAATACAAACATGCCAAGGGAGGTCCTCCTCCTTTTGGTATAGTAAGGGGTCATTTGGGTCAAGGTCAATGTCACCAATGTTAAAAATAGATTTTTACAGGTTTATTAACCATTTTCTAGAGACAGATGTCATTTATAATTGATAGGAACATAAAATTTGATGGAGTTAGTGGTCAGTTGGGTCAAGGTCACCAGTGCTAAAAATAGATTTTTACACTTTTTGCTAATACGGCCTTTATTTATTGACAGATATATTTCATATTTGGTTGGAAGATAACATGCATGGTATTCTTCCTTTGGATGGAGTTAGGGGTCAGTTTGATCAAGGTCATAAATGCTCAAAATAGATTTTAACATTTTTGCCCATACAGCCTTTATTTATTGACAGGTGTATTTCATATTTGGTAGGATGATAACTTGCATGATATTCTATAGGTGTCAGTGGGTCAAGGTCAAGGGTGCCAACTTTAGATTTCTTACATTTATATATTTGATAAAGTTGAATATTTATCACTTCACAAGTCATAGCAATGACTTGGCAACTTATATATTTCACAATTACAAAATGCCATGACTCTGTCAAGCTATATAACTTGTGTTTACAATTTTTTGGCAATGTTTCTGTCCATAACTGAGGGTATGGGTAAAAAAATTTTTTTAAATATTGCTACTGACAAGAATCAGAGCCGGGGGCATTTGTGTTTAACAAACACGTTCTTGTTTTTAATTCATATTGGTCTTTTTCAACATTAAACAACTGTTATATATAAATTGCAGTTAAAATGGAAAAATAAAATGTTTTTGTCGCTTATTGATTATGAAATAATAGGTCACAGTCATGCATGTTAGCCAATGACAAATATAAGTAGTCCCAGCTGCTATTGGAAATTTTTTATTGCAGGGGCTAAGTATTTAATTGTGGCGGAAACCAAAACAAACATGTACCCCAAAAGCAAATTAAAATTATCACATGGAAGACCACTGACCTTGTAAACTGCTTAATTATTATATTCATTAGCTGAACAAACATTGTTTTTAATCACCCTAGCCTGGTTGGTCGCTATTTATGTAAATACTTAAAATAGTAACACCCTAATTTTATGCACGGAACCCCTGGGGAATATAAATTTTCTTAAACTATTACCTTTACATTTTAAAAGTTTCCCCTATCAAATAAATTTGGGGCAAGTAAAAATAAAGTCTACTTCTTTTTCTTCCACATGATCAAGCAACCCACAATTCTCTTTAAACTGAATTAAAAGCATTTTAATTTTTGTTTTTAAAAATCGGGAAAAAAAGGAAAAACGGCGAAAATGTTTACAAAAAAGGGTTAATTTAAAAAATTTAATATATAAAAAAAAAATATTTTAATTTTAAAAATTTTTCAATCTGTAATTGCTTTTAAATTTTGAGCTAAAAACGGTTTTTATCGCCGAATTACCCCAAGTCTCAGATTGGTTTACCGTAACTGGGGAAACCACGCACCTCTAATATATAATACACTCAACCCTTTGTTAACAAGACACCTGTGCAGATGACTAACATCTGAACTTGGTCTTTCAAATAAGGACTTGAAAGAATGATTTGATATGATTGTGTTTTGTGCTTTCTTGAATCAATGCAAATTTATTTATTTCTGAATTTATTTATGTAGCAAATAATTCATAATGACAACAATACTATAATTTTAGATGAAGGAGATCTTGTAAGATGTTTTCAATGTGGAATCGGCCTGAAAGACTTCTGTGAGGAAGATAACCCGTTAAACGAGCATTTGAAACATTCCGGTGACTGCCCGTATTTACTAGAGTATCTGGGAGCGAGCCAGTTAGCTGCTATAAGGGTTAGTATGAAGGAATTGATGTCCCCTTTCTCATGATTTTAAGTATGGAAATATTCTAAAACATTGATCAGTGAAACATAATTTTCTGAGGTTACTAAGACACTTCAAATATACCTGCGTGATACTAGTATATCACATAATATCAGCTTTTGTGAAATGTTTCTTTTATTGTGAGATACATGTAAGTAAATGTCGGTGAACCACTACACTTTTATTTTGACATGCTTTAATTAAATAAGCGAATACAGTGAGATGGTAACTTGTTTAGTTATTAGCTCACCAGAACCGAAGGTTCAGGGTGAGCTATTAGTATCAAAGGGGGATGCTCCAGCGTTGGTCATGTGTAGTCGTGTGTCAACAATCGTCTTCTCCTCTGAAACTGCTGGGCAGATTTACTGTAGCTTCTCGAGACAGTCACACTTGAATTTGAATTTTGAATGTCATTTTAAATGGCCCCTTTAAGGGGTCAACAGCGCTAAAAATAGAAAAACCTTTAAACATCTTCTACTTCAGAACTAATTGATGGATGATCACCAAACTTTGTCTTTTATTAAGTTTGCTAATATTAATTTGATTGGCCCCTTTTAGGGATCTCTAAAGCTAAAAATAGAAATACCTTTAAATGTCTATTTCTACAGAACTAATTGATGGATGATCACCAAACTTTGTCTGTAGCATTCTTAGGTAGTCTTTTATCAAGTATGCTCATATTAATTTGATTGGGGCTGCTAAAGCTAAAAATAGAAATACTTTTTTACATTTATTTCTACAGAACTAATGGATAGATGATCACCAAACTTTGTGTGTAGCATCTTTAGGTAGTATTTTATAAAGTTTGCTCATATTATTTTAATTGGCCCCTTTTAGGGGCCATTAAGTTTAAAGTAGAAATACCTTTAAACGTCTATTTCTATAGAACTAATTGATGGATGATCACCAAACTTTGTCTGTAGAATTCTTGGGTAGTCTTTTTATCATGTTTGCTCATATTAACATGATAATCCCCTTTAAGGGTCCGATAAAGCTAAAAATAGAAATACCTTTAAACATCTATTTCTACAGAACAGTTTGCACATATTATTTTAATTGGCCCCTTTTTAGGGGCCATTAAGTTAAAAGTAGAAATACCTTTAAAACGTCTATTTCTATAGAACTAATTGATGGATGATCAGCAACTTTGTTTGTAGAATTCTTGGGTAGTCTTTTTATCATGTTTGCTCATATTAACATGATAATCCCCTTTAAGGGTACGATAAAGCTAAAAATAGAAATACCTTTAAACATCTATTTCTACAGAACAGTTTGCACATATTATTTTAATTGGCCCCTTTTTAGGGGCCATTAAGTTAAAAGTAGAAATACCTTTAAAACGTCTATTTCTATAGAACTAATTGATGGATGATCAGCAACTTTGTTTGTAGAATTCTTGGGTAGTCTTTTATCATGTTTGCTCATATTAATTTGATTGGTCCCTTTTAAGGGTTCGCTAAAGGTAAAAATAGAAATACCTTTAAACATGTATTTCTACAGAACTAATTGATGGATGATCACCAAACTACATACGTCACTACCAGTCCAATTAATTAAACAATAACCTGAATGGTGGGTTTAAATTTGACCTTATAAATGTGCATGATTTACGTCACAATGCATGAAGTTGCGTTGGAGGAGGGCATAATATGGCTGAGTTTTCATTTGCTCGATACGGAAACATTTATTTTCAACAAACATTTTTAATGAGTTAGACAATTGATACTCAGTAGCTATAATATCTGATATGAGTTATACATGAATACACTAAAATAATGTCATGTGTTAATACGAGGTCACGAAACGTATTTTCCAAAAATTGTCTACCTGAATAGACACACGAGACTTTCCTCTTAAGTACAAATTAATTTAAACATTTCCTACATTCTTAACAAAAATTATGAATTGACTTTGTATTGGTTTTTACTTTTACATGTGCAGTATCTTTTTCGCAAAGACATGGATTTAAATCTGAACTGCATGTATATCCTTTATCAATAAATGCAAATTTAATGTAGGTTGTCATTTTTCGTTTGAAAAACGGGACGTATTATGGGAACGCCCCTGGCGGGCAGGCGGGAGGGCGGCGTCCAATTTTGTCCGGAGCATATCTCCTACATGTATGGAGGGATTTTAATGAAACTTCATAGAAATGTTCACCACTATGAGGAGCAGTGTCTCTAGGTCAAAGGTCAAGGTCACACTTAGAGCTCATTGAAAAATGCTTGTCCGGAGCAAAACTTCCACATGTATAGAGGGATTTATATATTACTTGGCACAAATGTTCACCATTGTGAGGCGGAGTGTCGCGCAAGATTCAGGTCCTTGAGGCCAAGGTCAAGGTCACACATAGAGGTCAAAGTTCAGATTAAAATATGAAATGTGTATATGGACCATTTAGTCATCATTTATTGAGGGATTGTAACACAAATGGTCATTATCAAGACTATGGCTGTGATACATATAATTTAGGTCAATATATACAAGGTCAAGGTCACTAAAGATGATGAAATATCCAGATGTTGTCCGTAGCATATCTCCTACACGCATGGAGGGATTTTAATGAAATTTCATAGAAATGTTCACCATTATGAGAAGCCATGTCACGCACATAAACCAGGTCTCTAGGTCAAAGGTCAAGGTCACACTTAGAGCTCATTCAAAAACGCTTGTCCGGAGAAAAACTTCCACATGCATAGAGGGATTTCAATATAACTTGGCACAAATGTTCACCATTGTGAGGCGGAGTGTCGCGCACAAAATTCAGGTCCCTGCAGCCAAGGTCAAGGTCACACATAGAGGTCAAAGTTTAGATAAAAATATGAAGATGTGTATAGGGACGATTTAATCATCATTTATTGAGGGATTGTAACACAAATGGTCATTATCATGACTACGGCTGTGACACATGTACTTTAGGTCAATATATGCAAGGTCAAGGTCACTAAAGATGGTGAAATATCCAGATTTTGTCTGGAGCATATCTCCTACATGTATAGAAGATTTTTTATAATACTTTATGGAAATGTTCACCACCATGATATGTATTGCTCCATGCATGATCCAGGTCTCCAGGTCAAAGGTCAAGGTCACACTTAGAGCTCATTGAAAAACGCTTGTCCGGAGCAAAACTTCTACATTCATAGGGGGATTTCAATATAACTTGACACAAATGTTAACCATTGTGAGGCTGAGTGTTGCACGCAAAATTCAGATCCCTGCGACCAAAGTCAAGGTTACACATAGAGGTCAAAGTTCAGATAAAAATTTGAAGATGTGTATAGGGACCATTTAGTCATCATTTATTGATGGATTGTAGCACAAATGGTAACTATCATGACTACAGGTGTGACACATTTAATTTAGGTTAATATTTGCAAGGTCAAGGTCACTGGAGATGATTTAATGTCCAGATGTTGTCCGGAGCATATTTTCTACATGCATGGAGGAATTTTAATGTTACTTTATAGAATTGTTCACCACCATGAGACGTAGTGCCCTGCACATGAACCAAGTCTTGAGGTCAAAGGTGAAGGTCACAGTTAGAGCTCATAGAAAAACGCTTGTCTGGAGCAAAACTTCTACATTCATAGAGGGATTTCAATATAATTTGGCACAAATGTTCATCATTGTGAGGCTGAGTGCCGTGCATAAAATTCAGGTCCCTGCGACCAAGGTCAAGGTCACACATCCTTTGCATATCTTCCCTACTGATTTGTTTTAAGGTTTATTTAACAACACAGTGCCATGAATAAAAACTTGCTTGCTAGATAACACTTATCCATAATGCCCCCATCTCCATCTAAAGCTTTCGTATGGCACCCTTGTTATTAATTAATATTCAAAAGCGGCCCACGAAAACGCATGTGCGAATTAATTCAAATGACTATTTTTACAAACGTGGTTCTATGAAGCACTATGAAAAATAGAAGTCGACTATGAATGGTATTCGATAAAGTATCTACTTTTGTTCTTCTATGAAAATTAACGCACAGAATTTTTAAAAAATACAGCATTTCCGTTGGATGACAAATAAAGTTGGACACTAAACACAGAAAAATTTCAATCTTATTTTATAGGAAATGAAGTTGGTATAGTTTTTCACCAGTGTGTACACATTTATATTGTGAAGAGAAACTATATAAAACACAGATATATTTTATCGTAAATCATTATAGAGAATTGTAAAAGATGAAGGCATTATAATTTTTCCTGTTGACACATTAATCAGTGATGATGAAAATTGGTTTTATTGTACACATATAAAATAAACATTTGTATGCGTTGGGAAACGTATAGGTCAAAAACTACATGTATATTAACAGATAACCAATGTCTTATTTTCTTTAAAATCTTTAAAAAAAGAAACTTTATAATTTGTGTTGTTGTCCTAATTAAATCGGTGAAGTCATGAGCAAAGCATCATCATGGAGACCGACATATTTTAAAAAAATGTGCAGATAAAATACAAAACATGATAGAGGTGTAGTATTACATGTACACGTCAAATTTTCAAAACTGTAGATCTTATTTCTTTACAAAATATAAATAGGGATGTTAAACCTTTTCATGTTGACACATTTACCACGGAGCTATCTGCAATAAAGCCTAAAAGGTCTCTGCATTTACCGATAATTGAAATAACGGATATAATTATCTACATGTATATCTAGCTCTATGGCCTATTTCCCACATATGCCAACATCTCTAATGAGCTTCAAAACATAAAAACCTTATATATACCTACAGTATCCTTGTCCTAAATCAGCAACCAAAAAAAGCCAAATAAAGTATAAAAACAAAATACAACGCAGACATGATTCAGCGGTACGTTGTTCAAGAAGATTGTTCACGAGAAACACGACAAATAATCAAGTGGACCTACAAATTACAAAACAAAAATAAATAACAAGACCATTAAAAATGTAGTTTCTTTAATGAAAAAGGGTAATTACTTGAATGAAAAAGGATAATTTTACAATATAATATCCGAAAAAAAAGCGAAAAATAGAAAAACTTTTGAGAGTCATTACCTACTGAAATAATTGATAGATGATCACCAAACTTTATAGCATTCTTAGGTAGTCTTTTATCAAGTTTGCTCATATTAATTTGATTGGCCCCGTTTAAGCTAAAGCTGAAATGCCCCAGGTCATGGTATTTCTTCAAATTATTGTTTTAACATATTCTATGCTCAAATTTAATATTAGAAAATATTGACAATGGATAATTTCCAACACTGAAAAGCAGTTGTTTCTGGTGAGTGACTCAGGGCCATCATGGCTCCATGCAATTTCATTTCACTATAACATTACTTTCAATGAAATGATGATTTAGCTGGCGCATTATTGTTCAAATTATTTTTAAATTATCAAATTTAATATATTTTTATAGCTCACCTGAGCTAGCTCAGGGTGTTGAATGTCAGTTGTCCGTCCACACTTGTTCGTTAACACTCTAGCAGTCAATTTTTTGCCTCAATCATCATCAAACTTTGTCAGGATGCTAATCAAGGTGATAGCTGGAAAGAGTTCGAACATGGGTCATCTCGAATGAAAAACTAGGTCACCGGAGATAAAAATAGAAAAACCTTGTTAACACTTAAGCATTCACATTTTTGACTCAATCATCATCAAACTTGGTCAGGATGCTTGTCTAGGTGTTAGCTCGGATAAGTTTGAACATAGGTCATCTCGGATGAAAAACTAGGTCACAGGAGCTAAAAATAGAAAAACCTTGTTAACACTCTAGTGGCTACTATTTTGATTCAAATATCCTGTAAAGTGGTCTGAAAATTTGTTTTGATGATTTCTAGGTTACGTTCGAATGTGGGTCACCTAGGGTCAAAAACTAGGTCAGACTGCCCAAATATGGAAAAACCTTGTTAACATTCTAGTGGTCACATTTTTGACTCGATTATCATCAAACTTGGTCAGGATGCTTGTCTAGGTCATTGCTCGAATGAGTACGAACATAGGTCATCTTGGATGAAAAACTAGGTCACCGGAGCTTAAATAAAAAAAACCTTATTAACACTGTAGTGGCTACTGTTTTGATCCAAATATCCTGTAAATTGGTCTGAAAATTTGTTTTGATGATTTCTAGGTCAAGTTCGAACATGGGTCATCTCGGATGAAAAACTAGGTCACACCGCCCAAATATGGATAAACCTTGTTTATTGTTTTATCCAAGTATCCTGGAAATTGATCTGAAAGTTTGTTTTGATGATTTCTAGTCCAAATATGGGTCACCTGGGTAAAAAACTAGGTCATACTGCTCAAATATGGATAATCCTTGTTAACACTCTAGTGGTAACATTTTTGACTCGCCTGTCATGAAACTTGGTCAGAATGCTTGTCTAGGTAATTGTTCGGATGAGTTCGATGGGTCAGGTGAGCGATCTAGGGCCATCATGGCCCTCTTGTTTATAATTTAAGACAAATTAAAGAATTAAATTTTACTGAAATATTTCTTGTACAATATTTTTAGCAAGTTCAATGTTATAAGGATTATAATGGCCAGCCCGCTTAGCTTAATTGGTTAGAGCGCTAGACGTTATCTTTACATTGTGTGTTCGATTCCCTGGCTGGCAAGCTAAAATTACTAATCATCTTTCAGATGAGACTTTGAATAAGAGTGCTTTAGCACTTGGCACGCTAAATAACCAGGAGAATCATCTGGAATTGTCTCATCTTTCTATATTTGTATCTTGCAAAATCTAAAATGACTAATACTAGGACTCACCCATATAGGCAACTGATGGCGAGTATAAATAAACTCAAATATACACAAAGATACGGTTGTCTCTATTATCTCAGTTAAGCAACAACAATATCAGTTAAGGAAAACAAATGATTTTAATTTTTAAAATGAGCAGTAAAACATCTGTTGCTTAATCAGTTATGAATCTGCCTTGATTATGTTTGAAACTGACATTGACCAAGACAAAATGAACTAAAACTGTTACCAAGATATCACACTTTCAAACACATATTCCACTATATTTCCAGAGACGGTTACAATCCAGCGACCCTGAATTCAATAGAAGAATGCAGTGGAATGGTAATATGTTATAAATAAGATCATTTCAACTGAAATTCATAGTAAAGTAAAGGAAATCAAATTGCAAGCTTTTATCTTAGTAAGAGTAAATCCTTTTTAGGGTTACCCTCCGTCCGTCTGTCTGTCAGTCCGTCCGTCCACAAAACTGGATCCCGCGATAAAGCAAAAAGTACTGAAAATATTTTTATGAAACTTGATATATGGATAAATGGCAGTATGGAGATTTATATAATAATGCACGTCTTTTTCTTTTCTTCCTATGTTGAAAATTCTGAAAATATGGCGAATTTTACACATAAACTGGATCCAGTGTTAACTCAAAAAGTACTGAAAATATTTTTATGAAACTTGAAATATGAGTAGATGACAGTCTGGAAATTATGCACATTTTTTTCTTTTCTTCCTATGTTGAAAATTTTGGTTGCTATGGCAACAAATAGACTGAATTTCAAGATTTCTGATTTGAATTTTTACGCTTTTTCACTATAAGAACTTTATTTCTCAAGGTGTTTACTACTTCAAACTTTAAATATTAGTTTCTGGTCATCAACCACATATGTGACAAAGTTTACAACTCTAGCACAAAAATTATCAGAATTACCTCCCTTGAACTTTGAATTTTTATGAAAAAAAATGTTGTCTTTTTCTAAATAACTTCTTTATTTCCTAATGTATCTACTTCAAACTTATATATGTTTCTTATTATCACTCAACATTTGTGAGAAGGTTAAATACTCTAGCAAGAATATTTCTAGAATTATGTCCCCCTTGAAATTAGATTTTTTTTTTCGAGAAATTGGTATCTAACTTCTTCATTCCTTATAGGATTTACTTTAAAATCCCACATTGTAATAATATGACAAGGTTTATAAATCTAGAATCCATATTTCTAGAATTATCGCCTCCTTTAACTTTGAATTTTTCTTATTCATTCTTTAACTTTCTTATCTCTTCATGGATTTTCTTCAAATTCAAAATAAACATTCATTATCAACACCTACATTATATTTTTGTTTTTAATTTTCATCTTTGTTACTTACTTTACATTATAGTAAATGCTATATTTGAAAATTGTTATTTTTTACTTATCTTCTTTGTGACTATAAATGGTATCTTTAAACTTAAAGTAAAACTCACATCAATGTTCATAAATCTAGCATAGTTATTTCAAGAGTTATCTCCTCTTTAAGAATTTTGTATTAAAATATGTTATAATTATTTTGGTAACAGAGATGTTGGAAAAAATAACTCCTTCAGTCTGTCTTTCTGTTCATAAAAACTGTTTCGACCTGAGATCACTTTTAAAGATTTTTCCAACAAATTTACTTAAAATAGAGAAAAGTTGAAACATAAGTTATGCATATTCATCCTGAGAAATTGGATCTTTTGATTATCTGTTGTATAAACATTATTTCCTTACTAGACAGGGAAACTTAACACATTACTATGATATAGACAAACTTAGAACTCAAAAGATTTAAGTTCATTTATGTCATTCATTCACTGGTTAACGTGGATGGCCAATGGCCCATCAGAATGTTGCTGGGGTTCTCACCGGTAGGGGACTTGCTTGCAATACTATGATAATTACTTGTTGAGATGTTGAACTGTTCCTAGGCCTAAGCATGGATCTTATTGCATTTTGATGGTTCTAAATTACTACATGCTTGTGGATGAGTTAACACTAAAGTAACACTTAATATTGTCCTTTACCAATTAGATCTTTATAAGTCAAGAATTTTGATATATGATATTGGCAGTGTTGATGGGACCAATACATTTGGAGTTTACTGTTTTCAGGAAAATAAGATGGTAAAATATAAGTACTCTTTTGTCAGATTTATAGTTGAATTTAAAAAAAATAAAATTGTCTACTATTATATATGACATGCTTTGCATAATCTGTGAAGGAAAACAACACATTTATTCTTAGGTAAATATATACAAAGTCTTCTTAGTTATTATGCAAGCATAAACAAAGTCTTCTTAATTTTTTAGGCAAATATATACAACGTCTACTTATTCTTAGGCCAATATATAGTTATAAAGTGTACCTAATTCTTAGGCCAATATATAGTTACAAAGTCTACTTAATTCTTAGGCAAATGTATACAAAGTGCAAATGTATACAAAGTCTACTTAATTCTTAGGCAAATATTTAGTAACAATGTCTACTTAATTCAAAGTTTTTACACTAATAGTGATTTGTTACCTTATATTGTTAGACACGTACAGTCAAACATGTGTTATTGTTCTCATAACCACATTTGAAAAAAGTATTGATGTAAGGAATTTTGCCATTTATTCTCATATTCTGTGGGGGCCATTTTATATTTATACAGTAAAAACTGTTTACAGTGACCTTCAATGGGAGAAAAGAAAAAAGGTTGAGTCACTGTGGATATTCTCTACATAATTCAGATATATGAACATATCATACCAGTATTTTGTTGAAAAGCAGGATAGTACCATACTTAGGGTTTAATTATATCTTTTATTGATATTAAACATACCAAATATCGTTCATAAAAAACAGGACAGTATTAAAATTGCATGTCATAATAATTCGTTTAGATTATAAACTACACCATTACATAATTTACACCATTTTAATTTTACTAATGAGATGTTAGAGACATTTTATTTGTATAATCAGCCTGTTTACTTTACATAGTTCAATGTATTAATAAAACATTAGATATAAATCTTCACATAATTTATACAGATAAGTGCTCCGAAAAAAAATTTAACAATCGAGGTTTCGAACATAACCACACCTTTAAGACGTTTGGCATTGTTTTATCTTTACTCGCCAAAACACCGCAGCAATTATGTATATGCAGGTGTCTTTAATAACTCAATCAGCGAAAATTGATTGGATCTGTCGCCATTTTGTGTAATTGTCAACAAACAGCCATAGTGTATTAGTGTGTCGCCGATTGGTCAATGCAAACTGCTGTAGATACAATGCGCGTTCTGATTCTTCAAACGCATGAATACATAAAGATATACATTGTGAACTCTTGCCTTGCAGCGTGTATTAGACTTTGTTGATGTTGACACGCTTTCTTAACTAGCGGATTAACAGTAATTGGTTGTAATTGAGAGGTAAACAAATTGTTAAAGACCTAGCGGTGTAAATAAGTATGACAGATCATTGAAAAATAATCAGGCGACTTCAAAATCTGTTTAAAGTTTGTTTTAGGCGAAGTTGCTGATCCGAAGGCGACTTCTTTGCTCAAGTCGGCCCCTAGCTCAAGCCCTGCTCCTCTTGCAAAAGTCGCTTTTCACGGCGCAAATATGGTATCGGGTGACTAAATCATGATCGTTGTACGTGCTAGACAGGGAGTCGCTACTAAGACAGTCTTTACTGTATTGGAACAATCATTGTATGCTATTTCTTTTGAAAACCTGTGATCAAAGACTACATTTTCCATTTCACACAGGTTTTTGTTTTTATTGGAAGTATTTGTTTTCATAAATTTGTAGGGAGACACAGACAGGATCCAGAAAACGCTGTGTACCGTCACCCTGGATACCAGACATTGGAGTCACGACCTGCTTCATTCCTGAATTGGTCACCACACATGATGCAGACCCCTGAACAGTCAGAAGACGATATGATAGAGGAAATATTGAAATCAGTTGTCTTTTGTTACACAGGTGAAATTTCTAAACTAAACTTTCTTGTTAATCTGTCAGCAAAATACTCTTACAGGAATGAATAAATAATATAAAACAAGCAGCATCACAAAGTAATGTGTGGTTTATTGAAGAGGTTTTGCTGAAGGAATCTTTATGCCCCCACAAAGTGGGAGCATATAGCGTTGCACTTGTCCGTCCGTCTGTCCGTCCGTCCATCCCTCCGTACGAAGTCTTGTGAACGCAACTCCTCTTAAACCGGATGGCAGATTTTGCTTTAACTTCCAGGGATGATCAACCTCAAAAGCCCAACTGGACTATAAAAGCCAGCAGATGGCGCTAGGGCAGGTTTCTTATTAATTTTATGCATGCTTCACTTCAGTGACCCTTTTTCAAAGATTTAAGATTAATTACCAAATACATTAAAACAACACTTGGCATGTTTGTAGGCATAGAAATTTTTGATAAAGATTGACCAAAATTATTCAAAAGATAACTTTGTTAAGTGTATTTCTGGAAAAAATACTGGCTGTCAAATTTGAAATTTGAATTTCCCTGGGAGGAGCCATGTGATCATTACAGGTCATGAACCTTCAGTAGTAAACAGAAGCACGTGGCAGTGCTTATTTCAGGGAGAGAGATTTGTAGCAGACGATGTATATTTCAGGGAGGGAGATTTTCAGCAGACGACACATTGGAATGCTGAATAAAACAATAACTTTTACTGACTTGCTTTATCAAATCCAACAAATTTACAATAATCCATAAATCTATGATTTTTTTTTAAATTTCAAAGTACTGATTTAACTTGTATTTGAATGGTTTAAACTTCATGAAAACAGTTAAAGTAACTTCCAGGTATATTTCATTAAATTTTACACTATATTTTGTTGTAAATATCTTGTAGTCAAAAATTACATTTCAAAAATGTTAATCAAAATAAATGTTGCATATGCATAAAAATTTTATACATGAACAGTTTAAAAATATTTTAAATTCCTGTCAAGAACATTTTTAGCAGGAAGTTCCTAAAAGAAATGTCCCATGTTAGGCACATCTTTTGGATTTGGATATAATTGTCTGACTTGATGAAGGACACATACAGCATTCCAGTGAAAAAAAAGAATCAAAGCACTGAATGTACTGATGGGGAGGCTATGAGAGAATGTTTCAGACTTATAGTTTCTTTTCTTTTTGCTTAAAATATGCTACCAAAATAAAAAGATATGCACATTGCGCTATTTATCCTTACTGTTGTGTTCAACCATTCATATATATGGTTAATGAGGTTGACTATTCATTTTGTTAATATTCCAGAACATTTAATTAAGGTCTACATTCGGACTGTTAATCATGCAAATTTTGAAAAACCTAAACTGTCAATAATAAATGACATACCAGCAAGTATGACGACTGTTCATTATCAGATACAATAACATTTTACAACTGACGGTTCCTTATCAAAATATTCTAGGACTGTTCATCATAAATATTTTATGTCATTTTAATATTATTGAATGATAATAACAACTGCAGTGATGCAACATTTTTATTGAACATAAAAATTATACACGTTTAGATGTACCATAATTGAGATCAATAAGATACTGTCTTGTGATGAGTATTAACATTCATGCTCTACGGACAGAAGGTTGTCTTCTTCAGAAGCAAATCTCGAATAAAATCACGTTTCAGAAAATTAATCCCATTTCATTACTGACGGCGTCGGAATAATATTAAAGCTAAATATTTCTTGAAAAAATACATCTCTGCAAAGCTTATTCAAAACTGAATCAACCTAAGTGAAAATTGATCAGGAAGTTATATCTTCTTTTTTTACCGCCAACACTCAACACTCAACCAACTTATGGTAGTTAATCGATAGATTCTACGTGTATTTTTAAACCTCACTAGCTTGAAATATATA